GGCTCGGGGAAAGGCGCTTTTTAAAGAAATCACCAAAAACAGTGCCCCAAATTTGGGCTCCCGACACCACACTCCGCCACCAGGATGAGTGGCCTGGTTTGTGTGTGGCTCCCACAGAGGTGGCACAGCCCACGTCCCACCCATGGGGACAAACCCTGCTCCTGGCATCTCCTTCACCCCCAGGGACACTTTGGGAAGAAGGGCAGACTCATTTGGAGGCTTCATTCCCACCTGAAAATAGGATTCCTGTTTGGGACGGGTGCTTAAAACAAATCCTGGTGGGTGGTTCCAGTCCCCAACCTTGTCACCTTGCCCTGAGGGGAGCAGCCAGGGCATGGGGTGACACAGAGTGGCTTTTTGTCCCCGTGGAACACCCACCTGTATCTCCAGCTGCTGTACCACTTGCATCTGGACTCGACACTGGGCCGTGCTTCGGTCATCAAGTGCATGTTCTGTGTTGAGGTGTCTGGGGAGGAGAGCACGGGGGTTTGGTTTGGCCTGGACGCACCCCAAACTCAGCCCCTTTGCTGGGGCCACACACCCCAAAATGCAAATTGCTCAGGGATAACCCAGCAGGGTGAGTACCAGGGAAACTGAGGCACAAAGGGGAGACTGTGCCACCACCCCAAATCTGGGCTATAGGGTGGCTGGGACACTCTGTTGGGGTCACACCCAGGATCAGCGCTGATCTGTGATCGCTCAGGGATGCTCTGGCTCTGCTGCCCAAAGCAAGATGAGCATGAGGGAAACTGAGGCACAGAGCGGTGAGGCTGTGCTACCACCCCAAATCTGCGCTGGAGGGTGGCTGGGACACTCAGCCCCTCTGTTGGAGTCACATCCAGGATCAGCCCTGACCTGTGAATCACTCCGGGATGCTCTGGCTCTGCTGCCTGAAATGGGATGAGCATGAGGGAAACTGAGGCACGGAGGTGACTGAGCAAACCAGGCTGTGCCACCACTGCAACCTGGGCTGGAGGGTGGCTGGGACACTGCTGGCGTCACATCCTGACCTGCAAATCACTCAGGGATGCTCCGGCTCTGCTGCCCAAAGCAGGATGAGCATGAGGGAAACTGAGGCACAGAGCGGTGAGGCTGTGCCACCACCCCAAATCTGGGCTGGAGGGTGGCTGGGACATTCAGCCCTATCCGTGGCAGCCCCAGGGTGTTGAGGAGCAGCTTCTGGCTGAGGGAAAGGCCGTGGATTCTCCTGGAGCAGCCTCCCAGGACACAGGCAGCGTTATGGGACGGTGACTTACAGCCCTAAGGAAAGCCCTGATGGTGCAGGGTGGCACTTCCAGGCTGTCCCCATCCTGCCCCTTCCCTGCCTGGTGTTTATGAGGGAAGGTTTAGGAAGTTCCCCCGTGTTTAGGATGTCCCAGGGCCTCAGGGAGGGGAAGGACTCCTGGTGACAGGGACAGGGACATCCCRGGATCACSKCACCCCAAACCCTGCAGAGCAKCAGCCTGGGGACACAGCCATGGGTKCCAAGGCCAWATGGGGTGGGCACAAACCCAGGGAGTCCCGCTGGAGGGGCAGGATGGGTTGGAGGAGGATTCTGGGCCCTTGGAACACCCCAAAAGGTGACACTGGGGTGTCCTGGGGGTTGTGTGAGATGCCCCCAAGATTAGGACAAGAATCCTGGAGGAGAAGCCTCGGGAGCTGCTCTCCAGGCTCGAGGCTGGGTCTGGCTGGGCTCAGCTTTTGGGGCTGGAATTTTGTCTGTCTGTCTGTCCCACACCCACATCGGCAGAGAGGGGACAGGAGCCCCCAGAACCCTTCCTGGTGCTGCTGGGGGCAGGAGGGTGGGACACAGGGACTGCAGCTGGCAGAGCACGGCTCTCCTGGCCCCGTCACCCAACCCTGGGCATTCCCAGCTCCAGCTCCCAGCCCCAAACATGCCCTGCTGGGGGTGGGGACGCCTCATCTGGGCTCACCCCGTGACTCAGAGGAAGGAGCACAGGGAGGCTGAATCACCATCACCCCCTCGCTCACACCCCAACTTTGCACCTCCCCATCCTCCCGGGCACRGCTCCTGCTCAGCTCCTTCCATGGGAACAAGCAGGCTGGTACAGACTGAAAGATTTTGGTACAGCCAGAAGGATTTTGGTACAGCCTGAAGGATTTT